TTAAAAAAAAACTCTATTTCCTTGTAATATGTTTAATTCGTCAAAAGATACCACATTTACCAAATGTTAATGATCGTCGCATTCGTCAAAATACCCACAGAGAAGTTAAAAATTGTTGTTATATAGAGATCATAATAATATAGTTTATATAAAACTTGAGATTGTATTTTTTTATATTGTAAAGCAGATTCAAATTTACATAGTTCAAAAACAAAAAAATAAGACTTCAAGTTTTTAATAGACTTTTATTAGTAAGAAGTGGTAACTTCGTCAAAATACCTTCATTTACCTCATAATTTAAATTAATTTAATTGTTTGTTTGGACAATGTCAATTAAATTTAATTGTGTAATAATTTAATTGCAATTCAATTTTCGGCACCCATATTTTTTAGCAGGGGAGTGTGTGCTAGAATATCACATGTAATATATAATCATAATCATTTGAATTTTACTATTTACAAAAAATCAGCTGATAAATGACACTTCCCTAAAAAACACGCTTTATTTTATAAGCCGGTTTGACGTAACTTTTTATATAGAACATAACTAAGCGTTGTCATAACTGATAAGTTTGCAAGACCGTATTAGACCAGAAATTCAATTAAATTTGGTATATACCGGTACGAATCTAGGTTTGACGATAATAAATTTGCCGCCACAATCTGTGCGAATAATCCAATTCCTTCACATTGTTGTTTTTCTTATTTCAAAGTTAAAAAGAAAGAAAATGACTAATATTAGAAAATTAATATACTGTATATTACAGTATTAACAGCCAACAATAAATGCAGTTTATATATTTTATCAATTTAAATAAACCTTTTCTAATTCGAAGTATATAGGCACGTGGATTTATTTCTTTAAGCACATTAACTCTTTAAATGTAATTTTTAATTTCTTTCACTAACGGTTCGGCTGAGATGCATTCGTAGGAAGCTGACTATATCGACAATATTATTTTGATGCTTGCACCGATCTTGCCTTTTTTATTTCGATAACTATTCTTCAGGTGTCATAAAAGCCAATCTTCTTCAAGCATCATTTCTTGCAGCCTTTTGTTCAGCTGTATAAATTCTTTTACGGTTTTGCATTGATATAATAAATTATTAGCTACTTTTGTTAATCGTCTGTTTTATTATTATTTTTATTGATTTTTTATTGATCGAATTTCTGATCAATTAAATTTTACCGGGGATACGATTGTTCAAATCAATCCCATTACAGTGGCGGGGCCTGACATCACCTGAATTTAATAGACGATAGATTTACACTCTGCTTTCTCCGCTCCATCCCAATAATTTAAATGCTATTGTTATAAAATCCTTAATGAATCCTAGAGCTCTAAATAAATTTGGAGTTCCATCATCTTTATAATGGACCAACCAACAAAATCATAGAATATCACCTATTTAATCCAAGTTCTTTCGAACAATGTATTCGTATTTTTCTTCATTCCTTGTTTCGTACCATGATCTTTGGCAAATTGTGCATTCATTCTGAAACTTCCTATAGGGCTTCCACAATGAATTCCACATACTATATTGTTCTAAATACTAACTACATATCTCGTGGTGGAGATTCCAAAAAAATTGAAATCATTCCATTTTATATTTCTCAATTGACCTTGAATTATAGCACGTTCTTTAGGAGACATCATCAAGAGGTGTGTAGAATCAAGTATATGTTGCATATTTATTGGTCGGATTATTTCAAATAGACCATGCTTGTCTTTTAGGTTCATGTACGTATTTTCTAAGTCTGACAATTCCGTGCTTTTTTTTGATGCATTCCGTGTTTATAGCCAAATTTCGTGATTCCTGAAATGCAAAAAAATCTTCATTCCAACTTGGGTCCTATACGTTTGTTACACGATACAAATCCTGTGGAACTAAAACGTTCAATGTGTGTGGAGTACAGCAGTAATTTTGTGAAGATTAAATGTCGTGCCACGACGCATTGTATATGCACCTATTCTTGATCAAGATCAAGGTTCGTCATGGCAAATACCGATACTTCAAAGGAATGGCTCGAAAAAGCTATTTCTGAAGAACTTATAAATTATCATGAATATAATAAGTTTACTAACCCTGTGAAGATTGGTGAGGGTGGTTTCGGAACGGTTTTTAAATGCGAATGGCCAGATTGCGTATTAATAGTTGTTCTTAAACGTCTTAAGGTCACAGACGAAAAGGAATTTATTCATGAGGTATTATTTTATATTAATATACTTTTAATATATGGATTTTATATATCAAATTTTATAGCTCACATATAAAAGCTTAAACTATTACGAAAAGTTTGCTCCTATGAAAATATTATTACATTCCACGGAATCACAAAAGGTATACTATACGCACAGTTTATAATTCCTGAGAGTTGAAAATAAATATTAAATAAGAATATTTATTATAAATAAATAGATCATGATGGATATTATAATTTGATTTTACAACATGCTGATGAAGGAAATTTACGAGAATACCTGAAAACAAATTTTGAGAAACTACAATGGATAGATAAATTACGTATTGCTGAGGAAATAGCGCATGGTCTTTTGTTACTACATGAGAATCATATTATTCACAGAGACCTTGTAAGTATATTATATTTAATAGATTTTATATTTATCAATTCACTAATACTCTAATAATTTAGCATTCGAAGAATATCTTAATTCATAAAGGAAAACCACAAATTGCAGATTTTGGACTATCAAAGCAGATAAAAAATGAAGCATCTAAGACTTCAAATAATTCATGTTTGAATGGAATGCTCGAATATATTGATCCTAAATGCTTTGATTCTGATTCTGAATCTGAAGAAGTATATAAACGTGACAAGAAATCTGATGTTTATAGCTTTGGTGTAATCCTTTGGGAAATTTCAAGCGGAAGGCCACCATTCCAAGATGTTAAATTATCCAAAGTTGCCCTCTGTATTCGTATATGCAAAGGAAAAAGGGAAAATCCAGTAGAAGATACACCACCTCAATATATTGAACTTTACAAAAAATGTTGGGATGGTGAGCCTGCTAATCGTCCGGAAACAAAATTAATTCTCAATACTTTAAACCAACTTCTTCAAAATGCCGAGAAAGATATAAAACAATTAAAGGAGATGCAATTAATTGACCTGGATAAGAGTCGAGGAGAAATGTTAGCACAAATAGGTGTAAGTGAATTAAAAAATCAATACTTAGAAGATTTGAATGAAACTCATGAATTTAAAGAAGCCTTAGAATTATACGTTAGGCCGCGGGGAACATGGAGTGTACCAATCATCAAAACATTAAGTAATAAAGAGGACGAAGTAAGAGAAGGTGATATAGAAGAAGTAGTTAATGGTTTTTTGACCTCAAGGGATGAGCTCACTTCACATGATAAGGATATTCTGGAGAAAGCAGCTAATGAATTTTTGATTTCAGAAGAAAAAACATCGCTAATTCGAACAGTTAATGGCTTTTTTGTACCGGAGAATCAATTAACTTTGGAGGATATAAATACTTTGAATGTGGCAGCCAATCAGTTTTTGGCTTTAAGGGATAAGAAGGCTTTAAAGCTTCTGAATATAGTGATGAATGAATTCTTAGAGTCATCAAAAGATGAAAGAGTACTAAAGAACGCAATTCGTAATTTTTTGGAAAACCCATTTGTTTTGGAGAATAAATTGCCCTTAGGGAGTAAACTAGCATTAGGAAATCAAATAACTACAGAGGACGTGAAAATTTTGAAAGAAGCCTCAAAAAAAGACAAAAAATCTTTTGAAGAAACTTCCAATAGTCTTTTAACTTTAAAAGCTAAGGAAGTTTTGGAAGCAGCAGTAACTGAACTCCTAATCCGGAAACGTAAAAAAGTACTGTTAATATTAGGTAGTGGAGGCACGGGTAAATCAACGTTTAATCGCTATCTTGCTCGTCGCCTATGGAAAGAATATGACCAGCATGGTATTATGCAACCTATTCCTTTATTTATCGCATTGGCGCCACTAGAAGGGTTAATAAATCAAAATAAAGACTTGATTGAAGTCTATTTACAGAAAGAAGGCAAACTATCTATAGAACAAATTAATGAATTGCGAAAAAGGAAGTTTGTATTTATTTTAGATGGATATGATGAGATCGCTGAACGTGAACGTCATTGCTATAACAGCAATATGTTCTCTAAATGGAAAAATGCAAAAATTATCATCAGTTGTCGACCAGAGTACTTAGGTGAAGGCTACGAGAAAAGGTTTTGGCCTAAAGAAAACGAAGAAAAAGGGTTTCAAGAACTGACAATTACGCCATTTTCTGGAGTTGAAATAGAACAATATATCAAAAATTATGTTAATTATTCTCAGAATAAAGGTAGCCCATTAACATGGGACGCAGAAACATATATACAGCAAATAAGGAATATGCCACAAGTAGTGGATCTTGTGTGCAATCCTATTCTATTAAAAATCACTTTGACTGTTTTACCAGGCCTTCTCGGGGAGGGAAGAATAATGACATCTCAGATAAACCGTATAGTTTTGTATGACGAATTTATTAAAAAATGGGTTGAGCGTGCTCAAGAGCGCTTGACAAAAATCCAATTAAAACCCGAAGAACGAAAAGTATTTGATCGCTTAAATGAAGTAGATTTTTCTAAACTTTGTCTGCGATTTGGTAAAGACTTTGCTGTAAAGATGTTTGTAGACAATAACAAAGTGGTTATAAACTATGATCCCTTAAGTGAGGAGACCACATCCGATTGGTCAAAGTATTTGGGAAATAGAGATGAGGAGCATCGCTTGATGCGTTTCAGTATGCCATTAATTAGACGTGGAAATCAATATTGGTTCTTCCATAAATCATTACGAGATTACTTGATTGCTTGTGCATTGTTAGATTCGTTTAAAGATAAGCCAGATGAAACACCCTTCAACAAGCAGTCAATTATTCCCGAACCTGCGATTCAAGAATTTTTGGTCGACAGAGTTCAACAAAAGCCAGAATACAAACAACCAATGTTAAATTTTATTGAATGTTCGAAAAAGAATGAAACCGTTCAAATTGCTTCCGCTAATGCTATTACAGTTTTGTTACGTGCCAAAATACCAATTCCAATAAATTTAAACAATATTCGTATCCCAGGAGCGGATTTGAGCAATGGAGTTTTTAACAAATCACAACTTGTAAGAGCTGATTTAAGTAATGTGAATTTTCAAAATGCAAAGCTTCGAAGTGCAAATCTCGAAGGAGCATCTCTTCAAGATGCAAATCTCAAGGGTGCAGATCTCACAGGAGCAAATCTTCGACATTCAAATCTTCAAGGTGTAAATTTGCATGACTCTTATCTCAAAAATGTAAACCTTGAAGGAGTAAACCTCCGAGTTCAGGATTTCCGAGGGTTTGACCTCCGAAATACAGACTTCTGTGGTATATATTTCTAAGACAATTACCCAAAACTTGAAGCAATTCTTCAGAGTCTTCTATAGAATGCGTAAGCATTTAAATTATTGCAAAAAAAAAAAAA